TGTCATGCCACTGTGCTAACCAGACCATAAAAATCTTAACAACAATATCGATTCTAAGGGAAATCTTTAAATAATTATTGATATTCCCTATTATACTGTATTAAGGAATTTTGAGAACAGGGTGTTTAGGAAAATATTCGTACAAAACAAAGCAGGAAGTAATGAAGGTTCTGTAATGATTCATATTCTTCACCGAATACGTTAAAAGAAAGTAAAGCTATCCTTGTAAGAGATCGCTGAGGCCCATAGATTTCTGAGACGTCGAAGCTCCCAAATTTTCTAGAAAATCGGCTCACAGATGGCGGTGAGGCTGTCAGCCTTACGCGCCGGCAGCCCTTTACCTCCAGGAAGATCCCTGGTGCTCATTTCTGTTAGAGACTGGAAGGATTAGGTTAACTGAAAAATGCAATGGCCTCATCGGGACTTGAACCCGCGACCTTCCGGCTTGTAGCATAGTGCCTCAACCAACTACACTACCGCGTGCCCCATCAGATACCATTAGGATGATCAAATCAAGGACGATGAGATTTTCACAGTTCTGTCTTCCTGTAGTCCGCTAATTATTATCATGTTTCATACACAGTCGGACTTTCCAATTTCTAATAATAACAGGCATATTTCTTGCCAGAATATTCTAACAAGCACTGAAATTAACAAAATTAAGTTGTGTGAATAGCACACAATAATCATCATCCCCAGAAGAGCACTTTTTGAGTCACAGCCTTCATTAAAAGATTCTGCAGGGTTGGATACAATAGTTACTGGAATAACAAACCACGCAGTATAGACAGCATAATACAGGGTGATTCATATAGAACCGGCCCGACGAAATGAGCTGTAATATGAAATATACCATACAGATATTAAAGTAATTTATATATATCTTATCTTGGATTGTGTGCCGTGATCAGAGCAGGTGTTGAAATTGTCCGCCGTTTCCAAGTAGGCATTAGAAACACTCGCTGTTCAACAGTGAACTCCCTGACGTCCCTGACTATCGCCTGCGCACTGCAGACACGTTTCGCCATTGTCCTTGACCTTGCAGCATAAGGGCTGCCACTTGCCGGGTCATGCGCACACCATTCGACTCAGCACGGCCCACGGATTATTATGTTATAATTGTGAGCGGTTATATGCATCACCTGCGGAATTATTAGCAAATTCATCGGGCAGGTTCTATACGATTCACCCTGTAGAACAGACCAAATTAGATGCATGGCCTTACAGGTCTCGGCACCTTTGGGAAATCCCCAGAGGCCTGACAATAAAGGCAATTTATCTTTACACTTGTTGTAGATTTCAGTAACTTATAGAACATATTTAAAGATTAAAACTAGTGTAAAGCTAATTTACTTTTATCATCATGCCTTTGAGAATGGTCCCAAAAATGGCTGAAACATGTAAGGCCAAACATTTAACTCTATCTATTGTGTTAAATTTGTTTTTCCAAAAATTACTGGAAGTATAATGACGAAGGTGTCACATACTAAAATAGCATACTGCATATTGAAGCATGGTATTTTCTCTTAAATACTTGTTTTTCAGTCTATGCTTTCGAAACAGGAAAAATTCTCCATCGGATTACACATAAGTTTCCATTTAACTTTTACTCTGTTTACGATATATTTTTGCGCAATTGTGTTCCCACAGAATGAGATGCACAGGGTATGTAGCATGCAAGAGGGAGAAGAGGAATGCATATAGAATTTTGGTGGGAAACCAGAAGGAAAGAGACAACTAAGAAGACATAGACGTAGTTGGGAGATCAATATTAAAATGGATCTTAGAGAAATGGGATGAGGTGGTATGGACTGGATTGATCTGGCTCAGGACAGGGACCAGTGGCGGGCTCTTGTGAGCACGGTAATGAACCTTTGGGTTCCATAAAAATTTGGGAACTTCTTGAGTAGCTGTGCGACTTCTCAAGAGGGACTCAGATCCATGGATTTAGCTAACTGCATTCCCAAAATAAATAACATCGTACTTAGGTGCTTAGTCGCTGGCCCTCGCTGCTGAAGTCCGGGATAAATCCATATGGGATTCGTGGTGGATAAAGTAGCACAGAGCCAAGTTATTCACCAGGCACTTCGTGTTTTCCCTGACATTGTTCCACAATCGTCTACTTTCAGCAACAGGTACCACAGGATCATTTGATGTGTAAACAACAACCAATTGCTATCATCTCTGATCAACAGCTGCTGCCCCCACGCGGTGGACGAGCGCAGCAGGGTCCTCCATTAGTCACGGTGGCCACGAAGGGTGGTCGCCTTATTTGTTCGCAATGAACCAGATGATTTGTCGTCCCTGACATCGGCCCAACAAAATGGCCGCCACAGACATGTTGAGCCACAAGCAAAGCGGTCATGAACCACACAGCTTGTTGCATTACCAGCATTCCAACATTTGCCTTTCTGGACCAGAGCCCAATGCTATTATAGTGACTCTTGTCGCGTCTCGAAACATTGGTCTGATGGCATTCCTGGGTTTGAAAGATGTACATGTTTCTTGTTACATACAGAAAGTTACCTCTACGCTACCCCATCCAAGTACTGACGTTTTTGAAAAGAAAATCTGCTTATATCACGATTATCAGTCAAAAAAAATCAATTGAAACTGTAGGCCATAGGGCTGTAATGNCTGATGGCATTCCTGGGTTTGAAAAATGTACATGTTTCTTGTTACATACAGAAAGTTACCTCTACGCCACCCTATCCAAGTACTGACGTTTTTGAATAGAAAATCTGCTTATATCACGATTATTGGTAAGAAAAAAAATCAATTTCCACTGTAGGCCGCAGGGCTGTAATATCCGGGTTCGATTCCCGGCAGAGCAATATTTTTCTCTTTAGCACAGCGTCCGGACCGACTCTTGGGCCCACCCATCATCTCCAATGGGCACTGGGGCTCTTTCACCGGGATGAAAGCGGCCGAGACGTGAAGCTGACCATTTACCCTCATCTAGTGACGAGGTGAAGAATGGTGGAGCTGTATCTGCACTCTTCATGGTGTAGTGCTCAGCTAATTAAACACAGGGACAATTTTCTTTTTTATTGTATACAATATTATTACATCTCGCTTCACAAAGGGGTACTGGACCGCAGTTCATATGTCATTGTATGGTAACAAGATCATAAGTATTTCGTCAATCTTGCCGTCTGCAGTGGCACAACCTTCATCCCGTTTCAGTAGAAAAAGCATTATGTAATTTAAATCGTGGATTTTAAAGTGGACCAGCATTGTTGGAGGTTACTCGTTTAGAAACGTTTCCTTTTGCAATTTTAATATCCGTATTAAGTAGGACATTGTCCTCCCACGCTCTTGCAAAACGCGCAGAAATATAACAGAAGTATTCGTTGTCGTCAGTCTGATGCCTTATAAGTGACTAAATTAAACGGGCTTTAAAGAAAGGTAAAGCTATCCCTGTAACAGGCCGTGAAGGCCCATAGGATTGTGAGATGTTGAGGGTCCCACATTTTCTAGACAATCGGCTCAAATATGGCGGTAAGGTTGTCAGCCCTACGCACCGGCCGTGCTTTATCCTCCCAGGAAGATTTCTGGTACTCATTTGTGTTAGAGCCGAGTCGACCCCAGGGCCATAGTGCGGCTGGAAGGACTAGGTCAATTGAAAACTCCAATGACCTCATCGGGACTTGAACCCGCGACCTTCCGGCTTGTAGCATTGTGCCCCAACCAACTACGCTACCGCGGGCCTTTATGCTAGTGGAATTAAACAACTTCCGTCAGTTCTTCGTTCTTGTAAATAATTCTGTATTCATGAACGTACTTCTTTCTACTGCCTGATTTATAATGTTTTCTTGAGTGCTTTAACCTTCGACTCTGAAGAAGGGGGCGAGGTTTCTCCGAAAAGGAGGCTCACTTTTACCAGACTACACTGCGTCATATCCTAACAGACAGGAATCTTCAAATTTCTTCTTACTGAACCTTACATATTAGACTCTCTCCCTTTTTCCGTTTCGACAGGATACCTTGGATGGGGGATAAGCCCTCCGTGAGACCTCTGCCTACATGCAACAACCCAAGCACAGAATAAAAACAAACAAATGTCCATTTCAGGAGTGACATTTCAACCCATAATTCCAGTGTAAGATTTGAGGTTTTCACGGAGGTGACTATGAAGAATGCCGTCTTCTGGGATGTGGCGCCGTGTAGATATTGTGTAAACAAGACGTTTCGGAGGAACGTATCTCTCCATCTTCAAGTTATAAGAAATCCGCGAGCGATGAACCAGTGAGAGCAGGTGTAGACACGCTGATTCATCGCTCGCGGATTTCTTATAACCTGAAGATGGAGGTGATTCGTTCCTCCGAAACGTCAATTAACAAAATATCTACACGGCGCCACATCCCAGAAGACAGCATTCTCCATAACTCCAGGGTTCGAGCTGTCGAAACCACAATGCACCCTAATAAAGTTAAAATAAAGATAATGTAATAAATAAACCATGTTCAGTACTTAAGATATGTACTATTAGTATAAAATGTAGTCGTTACGTGTTGTCCTTAGAGAAATCTGGCCTTCAGTCCAAGCGACCTCTGGAAACGTTAACGAAAGTGGAACTATCTCACCGATTGGTTTGCTTACAGGTTGCTCTAACAAATGCAGTGGCCCTGCAACGGTTCTTACACTGCCTCCGGGATAGCTCAGTCAGTATAGTAATCAAATGGAGGGCCGGGGTTTGATTCCCAGAAGAGGCAAGATTTTTCTGTACTCCACAGCGTCCAGACCGATTCTGGGACTAATCCAGCCTTCCATCTATTGGGTAGCGGGGGCTCTTTCCCAGGGGTACAAAGCGGCCGGTGCGTGAAGTTAATAACTCATACCCATGTAGTACCGAGTTCAAGAATGGTGGAGTTATACCTCCACTCCTCAATACGTCTTGATGGCCTGATAATTAATTAGGCAAATGAACAATTGTACCTTTACACTGCCTTATTCCACTCTCTCTTAACATATTCGTAATGATGTTTTCATTGTTTCAGATGCGCCTATTGGCGTGGCTGGTTCTCTGCGCCTGCGCCGTCGCAGCGGCCACACAATCACGTGAGTACACGAATTGTTGCATCAGTAGTATCATGCCCGCTTGTGTTGAATCGTGTGCAGAACTGTTACTATGTTTATATTCCATAGGAAAGAATGTTTATGCCGGAATATACAAGTACATATACGTATACTCACGTAGCTATCCGAGAAATATTAGAAGTTGAAACGAGGTACAGCAATTCTATACAGTTCGTCTTTATTCACATGCTTAATGAACAGCACAAAGGCCAGCTATATAATAAAAACAAGCAAAAGGAAGAAACAAAACACACAGATGGAAAAGACAACATGAGGCAACTTTTATGAAAATTATAACGACCAAAAGATATCATCCTCGATAAATTCATAATTTCCATTAACTGACCTGTTTTGATTCCAAGATATTGTCCATCACTTGAAGAGACAAAAAATGACGGTGATGGCGCACCACCACACAAACAAAAAAGAAACCATACCAACAAGAACATTCAAGACACCCACAGCCAGAAAACCAAACAAAACCACAAGGCAAACACGTGCAGTTCAAGGACACAAAAATTAAAACAGCTGGTTAACCCACATAANCGTCGTGGACCTGTTTTAACCAGAATTTGAATTTGAAGAGTTATATCTTCTGGACTATATCGCAGTGCTGTCCGTTAAACCCCAGAATACAGAATTCTTCATAACCACTCGTTTGAGAATCTCAAATCCTCCAAAATCTTAATTTTCGTCGACAAATCGCAGTTTCCAAATTTCATGGAAATCTATTCAGCTGTTCTAGAGTGCTTACACTCTAACCGATGGACAGGCATGGCGCAACCTTTCGTTGGGAACCCGCAAAAAGGGCATATAGAGCAGAAGCAGCAGGTGCTCCTAAGGGTTATTTAGTATTCAAATAATGGAAAGTTCACGTGGCCCTGCTATGGGTTCAGATTAGAATTAGAAAGTTGAGTGTAACGTTATAGAGGACAGAGATCAGCGTTGAATCTACACGAGTCTTGTACGTGTGTGAAATTAGCCTCATAAATTCTCCACCTTGAACTTCATGGACACTTTATCAGTCCCGATTGCTACGTGACGTCACCGTCAATACAGAGCCCCACGTGGAAGAATTTGAAGGTAAAGCTATCCCTCTAACAGGCCATGGAGGCCCATAGGGTTGTGAGACGCCGAGGCTCACATATTTTTCTAGAGAATCGGCTCGCAGATGGAGGCTATCAGCCTTACGTGCCGCCCGCCCTTTACCCCAAGGAAGATAGAGGCTGAGTCGACGCCAGGGTCCCCATCGCGGCTGGAAGGTTTAGGGCAAATGAAAAAGTCCGATGATCCTTCAAAACTTGTACTCTTCTCCAAGTATGATTAGAATGATCAAGTCAAGCAGGATGATGTGGGCAGGGCATGCAGCACGAATTCGGGAGAAGATGAATGCGTATATGATATTGGTGGGAAAGCCAGAAGGAAAGAGACCACTGGTAAGACCAAGGCTTAGGTTGGTGGACAATATTAAAATGGATCTTAGAGAGATAGGATGGGATGGTATGGATTTGATTGATCTTTTTTGGGAAGGGAGGAGAATTGTGGTTGTTGGAGCTGTTAGGCGAGAGCTCGCTTCTGGTACACCCTTAGGTGTCTCGCGAGTAGGTAAAGACAGGAGTATCTGGGTTCTGTTCGGTAATTGTTAGAGCTGAGTTCATATCATCGTCTGGCTCGGGCAGGGCAGGAAGAACCTTTCACTACAATCACACACACCTCTTTAGACCGTTGCACTTAGTAGTCCTTTAATTCCCTCCAGCTTACTGAATACAACTGAATTTATTAGTACACTTAATTTGAACTTTACTTATAATACTTTTACGGAAGGGCCATAGTTGTAAATTTTGTGTCCGACTTTGCCGAAAGTTGTATGAAGACTCCTCGAGGTGGAGTGCACTCCCTCTGAATCCTGAGGTCCACGAACCCCAGACTCCAAGAGAAATCTACTCCTCCACTTCTGCCATTGGTTATGTTTTCAAACTAGGAGGTTCCCTAAATTCTGAATTCCCAATCATGTTGCTTTGCTATGTGATTCTGGCAGATGCTGACCTGACGCTAAGGTTGACAGCCCCTTGATGCATTACGACCATAGGATGAGGCTCCGGCCATCCCACTTCTAAGTTATAGCTGTTCCGAGCTGTCAGCTCTCAAATTCTCAAAGACTTTCCGACTTTGCTGAAACTGCCAGAATTCCAGGAAAGTACCAGATGTTACTTCCTGTCCACATAGCAAAACTTGAACTATGTCCCTTCCGCGTGTAAGAGCTGGCTATCTGCCGGATCTCTTTGTTTGTAATTTTGTAATCTTAACTTAATACAGATTTAATTAATGCACAATAGTCCACCAATCAGAATGAACGGTTACAATCTGTCTCAGGATAGGGACCAGTGCAGGGTTCTTGTGAACACGGTAATGAACCTTCGGGTTCCATAAAATGGTGCGAAATTCTTCAGTAGCTGCATAAATATAGGCTTCTCAAGAAGGGCTCGGCTCCTTGAGTGAGTGACACTAAGGAACACAACAGTCATTCAGAACAGAAGTGGTGGTTCTTTCCAAATGAGAACACATGTTAATAGAATGGAACGGGTTAAATGTTCGTCCAGTTGTTTCCACGTCAGACAAATCGTGTGTCATGCTCACTTTTGCACTCAAAGTCTGAAGCCGCCTTTCTCCGCAATTTCACTCACATACGCATTGCGAGAATGCATTCCTGCACGTTTGCCCTCGTATCAATTAATTTAATATTCTTCCGGCGCTCCGCGATGCTTAGCTTCCTTCTGTCGCCAGAACACGTACACAGTTTCACATGCAACTTCATAGGTCAGTGATATCGATCTATCGAAAGGTTAATACATTGCTGTAAGAGAGCTCGATGGTTTAAACACAGATAATACCAAAGCCCGCTGAGCCTCCAATTCCTGCCTCAATAACCCACTTTCCTAATATCAATCTTAATACTGGGATTTGACGTGCTAAATTCTGTGAACAGATTTATTAAGATTAAGTTCTTCTGGGATTTTACACAGCCCAATTTTTTTAATTCGTTTATTGGGTGGTGGAGTCCAACTGGGTCCACTCGGCATGGCGGCCACTGATTGGCCTATTGTAATCTACCCCGGTTGATTATGATGATGGAGAATTTGGTGGAATGAAGATTGGTAGGGGAATCCGAAGTACTCGGAGAAAACCCTCCCCAGCGCCACTTTGTCCACCAATTGACCAGACCCGGGATATAACCCGAGCCGCCGCGGTGGGAAGCCAATGACTAACCGCTGAACTATGGCGCCGCCCACAGTCCAGTTTGCTAGGGGAGGCACGCTGTAGCATAGTTGGATGTGGTACTATGCTACAAGCCGGAGAGTCGCGGGTTCTATTCCCGATTAAATCATTACATTTTTCAATTGAACTAATCCTTCCAGCCGCACTATGTCTCTGTTGTAACTTCAGCCTCTAACAGAAATGAGTACCAGGAATCTTCCTGGGAGTTAAGGGCGGCCGGCGCGTAAGGCTGGCAAACTCACAGCCATCTGTGGGCCGAATGTCTAGAAAATGTGGGAGCCTCGACGTCTCACAACCCTATGGGCCTTCACGGTCTGTTACAGGGACAGCTTTACCTTTACCTTACCAGTTTCGTAGACAAGTACTAACTTTCCAGAAGTACTTGTCGGATGGAGGCAGAAGGTTCCTCTGAAATATTACAATACTACACAGCGATACATAAACATACGGTAATTTTAATCTTAATGTTATCCTCCGACGTCCTCCGTCTTTAAAGTGTCCGATTTCCATGAGGTTTCCCCACCAAGATCCTGCTCTGCTTTACATATGGCTGCTTATTTGGTACATTTCCTCTCTTTCTGTATTCCATCTTCTCTTGTTTCTTCGTTTCTTCCCCTGTAGATCTGCACATTTGTCATAAGAGAGAAGATATTTGCAGCAGTATAATAAAAGGAAAATCTATGCCTGTAACAGATCATGGAGGCCCATAGGACTGTGAGACGTCGAGGCTGCCGCATTCTCTAGACAATCGGCTCTCAGATGGCGTTGAGGTTGTCAGCCTTACGCGCCGGCCGCCCTTTACCCCCAGGAATATTCCTGCTACTCATTTCTGTTAGAGACTGAGTCGACCCCAAGGCCATAATGAGACTCGAAGAATTTGGTCATCTGAAAAATGTAGTAACATCATCGTGACTCGACCCCGTTACCTAGCGGCTTCTAGCATAATGCCACAACCAACTACACTACCGCGTGCCCCTGTTATAAACTTGCAATCGGATAGTGCTGTGTTCGTATCTGTGCCGGGAAACCAGCTAGCTTCACTGAGAATTTCTCTGGTTTTCTTCAGTTCCTCCAAGCAATTTCCAAGATGGTCACGGCTGTTTACTTCCAAATCCTTTACCTACCATCTTACCATTTGATGGTATGTGAGATACTGACCGCGCCGTAAAGTAAGCCAAAGAGAAAAAACACTTCGTCATCACGGTTCTTTTCTCCAAGAGGTCGCCTGTCTAGACCTTTCTCGAACATCAAATCAATTTGCAGAAGCAACTTGCTTCTCCTGCCGCTTGCCACACCGAAATCTTATGTTACGCAACGTGTCACAGCAGACAGGAACCGATCCACTTGAGGTTCTGTCGGTCCTGAAGTGGTTTCCTTTCTCGCGACAGTTTCAGCTGATGACGACAGAGGGCTTAAATAACAACATGTCACTACCATAAACAGGAATGGAAAGAAAGCAGACACTAGATGTTGTTATGTAAGTATAACTGCAGTGACTGGCGTCAAGAATGTGAGTCCACTGTACCAAGCTTGTTAATCATTCATTAGCTACATCTGTCCACATCTTAGTCTTCTGTGTAGTCTGGTTTGTGGACAATAACATTCCAGAAGAATATGCTGGGTATGTTGCCTTTTTCGTTTTCTATACGGTCCTTATCTGTCTATGCGTCTGCTTGTCTATCGCCCCTAATTTGATCGTTTTCTAC